GTATTGTTAGATCTGAGATTAAGTTTATTGGACCTCATCCAGCCCATTACTGATCCCGGACACGGGTTTATCACTTCCGTGTCCTTACCCGACTCTAATAGAGACATGGAGCTGGGTTTCACCAGGATACTGGCCAACGCCTCATTTCAAATCCCTGGATGACCTTGATCAGTGGCTTCATGTAGATACTAAAAAGCATGAGGGACAAAATGAATATCTATGATGGTTGTCTTAGCATGAGTGCCGTGGGGCCTAGAAGTACATTACAGTATCATCTTCTGAAATTTGTCCTCTAGGTAGGAATAGAACCACTGAAACACATCAGTACCAATCCTGAAACCCGTGAGAGTCTAGTCGATAGTACAGAAGGCATCAACCTAAGAGAATTACCAGGGTCGCACTCCCACTGTCCTCCTACCATAGTCATCCACCAGGGTAATCAAGGCAGTTTCTGTGTCAATGCTAGGCCTGAAACCAGACTGGACTGTGCTCAGAAATTCAGTCTCATGTAAGAGTGCCTAGAGTCGCATAGCAACTACCCACTTGCCCAAGAGTGGGGTGTTCACGACCAAGCAATAGTTGTTACAACCCTTGGGGTCCATTGTGGCTTTCTTTAGGAAAAGTCTCCCAACTAAATTTGTCCATGCTTGCGCTCTTAATTATCAGGGGTCAGGAAGGACTTTTCTTCAGGTAAAAATTGCTAATGGCCCCAGGATTCTTTGGGCTTTCTTGTCGTCTTGGCTAAGCTACACAAATCACCTGTAGCTCCAGCTTTGGACAGGCCTCTTGCAGCACCTCTGCTCTCTGCTTGCAGCACGTTGTCTCTAAAAGCACAGATCAGTTGGAAACCTGCTAAGCAAATAATTCTAGTTTTGGACAGGAAGTTGGGGTAGATGAGTTTTTGGCTCCTTCCAACTTCATGATTCAATGTGATCACTTTAAAAAGAAACCAATTGAAGCACACCTGGGTGAATGAGTGTCAGTCTACAATACAGCAACACACACAGCAACTTCTGTTTCCAAAAGCTTTAGTGTTAGCATACTGACATCTAGCACCCTAAAACTTCAATGCAATGTGGAGCAAGACTCTTCTATGACAAGTAGCAGAATATGCAGAGCAGCTTTGTCAACGTGACTTATATTTGACACTCACCCTTTGTTCCTCACTGACAATACCTTCTCTCCCTCCACCCCCATGTTTTCTGATGCAAATCTTAAGCAGGGGCCATAAAACTTTCACATCCTGAATAGTGCTCAGAGTGCTCTTAGTAGTTTTACTGATTTGTTAATACTAACAACTATGAAAACAAGCTGTGTTTCCATCTGTAGAGTATTACAACTGCTATGATTCATTTAAGAACAAGATGGCTACTTCTGGTGTTTTGGGAGACAATGTTTAACATTAACTTAGCGTTCCTTTTGTTATCAAATATGCTACAGTTCAGCTCATTATAACCTTCAAATGTGAAGAACTAGGATTAAAACTATTTGCGTGTTCATCATAATCAGCTAAACTGTAACTGATAAGCTCTGAAATGGAACAACATAGTTCAAAGACTGATACAATATTCTAATACAGTTAAGATGCCACAGATTCAGTGTAACTTAATAGCGGCCTTGCTTGTTTTGATATCCTTGGGTTGCTTTGCTCAAATTCTGTAAACAGAGTTAAAATGAAGACAAAACTACAAGCCTTCTCTCCATATATCTCTCTGTGGCAGACTGCATTCTATAAGGGGTTTATCACTCACATGCCTTCTAATGTCACACACAAACACACACACTTACATTTGACTTTAAAAAAGTTTGCAGAAGTCTGAAAGACAAACTTAAAGAAATAGAAGGAAAACCAACTGACAAAGGAGTGATCTTCACACCACAGTGTACCTGTTTTCCCTCACATGTGTCCACCTGTTTCCTGAATGAACTGTATTGCCTTTTTCAATGACAGCATTTATGCATCAATATCGCAGAAATGTGGGGATCTGGTTATTTATTTATTGCTGTTATACCACGCCTTTTCTCCATGGAGCTCAAGGTGTTGTGCAGGGTTCTACCCACTTCCCTATTTTATTCTCACAATCGCGCTGTAAAGTAGATCAGGCTGAGAGGTGACAGGCCCAAGGTCACCCAGTGAGTTTCATGGCTCATTTGGCATCTGAACACCTTGGTCTCCTAGGTTCTAGTCCAGCACCCTAAACACTGCCCTACACTGGTTACAGGGAGTGCTTTTATTTTAAGTTTTACCTTCTTAATATGAGTACTACTCCACTGTATCTAAGAGTCTTACTTGCCACTTCAGTTTACTCTGTGCATTTTATAAAGTAGAACATTGCCTATGAAAGGTCATGTTGCAATATTAATGCTGCTAAGGCACTTTTGCTGGGCTCCTGAGAACTGCTTAGGCTAAATGGATTCAAGTTACAAGAAAGGAGATTCCAACTATATATCAGGAAGAACATTCTGACAGCAAGAGCTGTTACAGGCGGTGAAACAAACTTCCTCAGGAGGTGGTGGACTCTCCTTCATTGAAGGTTTTTAAGCAGAGGTTGGATGGCCATTTGCCATGGGTGCTTTAGTTGAGAAATTCCTGCATTGTGGGGGGTTGGGCTAGATGATCCTCAGGTTCCCTTCCAACTCTACAATTCTTTGATTCTATGAAAGGACTTGTGCTAGCCCAATCCCACCCCCACTGAACAGCTGTCCCCTCTGCAAAAGCACAAAATGCTTTTGAGCACTCCTGCCACTCCAATTTCATATGTAGGTTGTCATGCAGGGTAACAAGGGGCTGTGGGAGGTTTTAGAAAAAAACACGGTTTAAGCTTGCTTGGACTCATGGAACTGGTTTTCTGGTTCTTTGGAATCTGTCTTCTATCTTTTTGCAGTTAACATTACTATCACACACAAATTCAGCAACTTCAGAGTGAAAGCGGGGGGGGGGGGGGGATTCTGATTCTGCAACAGATTTACTCCTGGGCTTTTCCTGCTGAAAGTAATGAGTAATGAGTAATGTTTAAGATTACAGCCACGCCATTAGAGTTTCCAACACTAAAAGTAAAAAGTCATAAAAACAAATGCCAGTGTTACTCTCCGATAGCCAGTGTGAGAAAATACATGCATGCACAAACAACTTATGACAGGGTGCAAATACACTTAGCTGAATTCCTACCGAAAAGAAGAAGTGGAAAAGCTATTAGGCAGATAAAGTTACTAGGTACCTAGTATAGTACCTAGCATTATGTGAATGTCAATAAATACTTTTAGATAACTTTAGTCTATCTATGAATTTGTTTAGTTAGCAAATTTAAGTAAACTTAAATAATAAAGACTTACTAAAACAATATTTTGTGCTGTGTAGACGTGTGCCACCCTGTGTTTGTTTGAGTCTTAAGCCTGCAAACACAAATTGCAACAAGTTATTTTTATTTATTTCAATTCTATTCTGCTCTTCAGCCGCAGATCACAGGGCAGTTTACTGTATAAAAATAGAAAAATAACATTACATAGTAACAAACAAAATCAATAAATTCTGTCAATGACATAAACAGGGAAAACACAATACAGAAAAGGAAAATACATGCATGTTTGCAGGATTTGGAATCATAGTCTTACAAGACTAGAAAGAATAATTAGAAATCCTGTTATAAAGTATCTAAGAGTTGTTTCTGCGTCTAAGTAGTCAGGTGTTAATGCAAAAACCGCTGCACACAAACCAGTGAATTCAGGCTGAGCACAGGTATTATCCCCAAAATTAACTAGTACAGTGTAGCTTCTGTAGCTCAGAGCCCCACCCTCCCAGGCCAGGTGGGAAAATGCCTACAAGGCAAGGATCAGGTCTTCCAGGACTCGCAGCCAAGATGCTACCATAGAGCATAGTGATCATTAGCTATGCAATTACTTCCAGCCAAGTGCCTCTGAACATGTGCAGAATGCTCTTTGCATACGTGTTAGAACAAGCGCCAAGTTTAATAATATATTATATTATTATTATTATTAATAATAATAATACAACGCAAAAGATCTCTGCATACGCAGAGTGCCTGTCACCCGACTGGCAGCTGCGTTTTAAAAAACCGAACAAACGGCACAACGCCTTGTGCAAAGTGCTTTTAGAGTTTGGCGGCTGTTGTTTTCAAGCGCATCTTTGTAGGGAAAAAGGGAAACGATGGCCAGCACGTTGAGCATGTGCGTCTCTCTCCGTGTCTGTCTCTCTGTCTGTCTGTCTGTCTGTCTGTCTCTCTCTCTCTCTCTCTCTCTTTCTAACCGGCCAGGATGATGTCGGAAATAAATACGGCCACCGCCCCAAACCCATGCAATATCAGCTCTCCTTCCCGGGTCCCCACTGCCCACGCCACTCCCGACTCGCTCGCTCGCCTGTCGCGTTCGGTAACAACACCGCAGGCGGTGCCTCCCTAGCGCCGCTCTAGGCGTTGCCATCTCTATTTCACCTCCGAAAGGGGAAGGAGCAAGAGGCGGGGATGCGCGCGCGGCTTCTCCGGTTGGGCGCCCGCAGAACCTCGGAAGCGGCGGGGGAGAGGGAGGCGGGAAGGCTCCGCGCACGCGCAGGGCGGGGAGCAGAAGAAGGCAGAGTCTCTGCGCCCGCTCGCCGCCCGCCGCCCGCTTGCCCGCTTAGTATTTCCTCTTCTCTGTGTGGCTTCCTTCCCCCACCTTATTATTATTATTATTATTATTATTATTATTATTATTAATTTCCACCCAGTTCCTCGCCTCCTTATACCTGGCTTTCAGAGTTCTTCTCTCTGCACTTTGTTTTTATACGTCTCTCTCCTGGGGCTTTTTTAAAAGCACCTTCCCACGTGTCCCTCAGGCTTCACCTGGCAGCTCTCTCACTCTCATCTACTTTTTGCAGAAGGTGCTGTGCAGCCCCACGTTGCGGCAGCTATAAAGAAGTCCTGGTCTGTGAGATGCCACGTGCACTGCTCCCCCCTCCCACGGCCCTCATTTTTCCCTTCCTTTTTCTGAGTGTGTAAAGGTCAGGGATGGAGATGGCCAAAGGGGTCTCTGGGGGACATGGGAGCCCCTTTTTGCAAGAAGGCACCTGTGTTGGTGGTGGCTCAGGGCTTACCCAGCGCCAAAGTCCAGTCGCCCCATCTCCTCACTTACCGGACAGACCTCAGTCACAGTCCGCCGCATCATTCAGTAGGGAAGGCAGAGAAAGCAGTGAGATTCAGGTGGTATGTTCCATATTGTTCTGCTTTCGTTCTCGGTTGTCTTTGTACATCTGCAAAGTTTGTCAATGGGTGGTGAATCTAAATGCTGTACAGTGGTACCTCGGGTTAAGTACTTAATTCATTCTGGAGGTCCGTTCTTAACCTGAAACTGTTCTTAACCTGAAGCACCACTTTAGCTAATGGGGCCTCCTGCTGCTGCCGTGCTGCCAGAGCACGATTTCTGTTCTCATCCTGAAGCAAAGTTCTTAACTCAAGGTACCATTTCTGGGTTAGCAGAGTTTGTAATCTGAAGCGTATGTAACCTGAAGCGTATGTAACTGAGGTACCACTGTATACTCAACTTCAGGAATGGTTGTTAATGTGAGCTGCTGCAGAGAATCAGCAAACATATCCTTAGCAACAAGGTCTTTTTTTTTGGTCAGGCTGATGCTACCAGGGGTAGCTAATGGGGTGTGCTCCAGATGTTTTGAACTACAAATCTCATTATCTCTGACCATTAGGCCATGCTGGTGGGATTTGTGGTCAAAACGTTAGGAGGGTGCCATGGGAAGTTTGCCTGGTGCCATCATTATACGCTATATCGTTAGGTGCCAGGCAAAACTCTATTGCCAGGCTTTTGGCCTTTAACTATTTGTGGCCTTTTGGAAGTGGATGGGATGTTTTCAATGTATTTCTTCTTTCTCTTGGTTTTAATGTATCATGTGGGGGATTTTTTCCCTCCTTGTTGGGTTGTAGGTGGCTTTGGGTTGGCCTGGGCAAATTAAAATGACTAACAAATTCAATAAAGAGTAACAATAATACTGTAATAGTCATCGTTTGAGGCCTTTCCCCAGCTGTGTGGGTTGTTCTAGAGAAGCAAGATGGTGTAATCTTGAGGGTTAAAGGTTCGTTCAAATGCATGTAACAAAACCTTGTCAGCTGTGGTTTGTTTGCTTGTTTTGAAAAGAAAGCCACTCCAGAAGGGGCTGACTTGAAGTGGAGAAGTGTGCTTCCCAGCATATTGCTTTTCTGTTGTAAATTTTCCCCATCCAAATCAGCTTGTTCCTTAAAATAGCAATAATAGTCGTGGTTTTGTCACATGCTATTAGCATGCACTGTTAAGTTAGCGCCTACTTTTACGTTCCTGAACTTAAGGGCTGCTGGGAATGCTTCCAATAACCGTGTATGTTTAAAAGCATGTTGTGGAAAAGATACGCTCATTTCTGAGATAAGTCTGGATATCCTAAGGGTGCTCATTGTAAACATACTTTTAAGCATGATATGCTCCTTGGGAAGATGTATGTTCCCTAAGCTAGCTTCTAGAGAGCTTTGCTAAATAAGGGGTGAGAGGCTCTGTTGGCCTTTCTGTCTGCCTTGGCCAACTCCCAAGAGACTGTGATCTACTCAACAGTTAAAAACTGGCAGTGATCTACCCTCTTTTTGGGGGTTCAGGTCAAAGTTACTGAGTTTTTTCAGGAAGGAGGTAAAATGTTGAGCTTTTTTTAGGGGAGCCGCAGTTGTTCAGCTTCTTTGGGGGGAGCCAATGATCTACCAGTGATCTACTGGTAGATCACAATTTACCTGTTGGACATGCCTGCCCTAGACCTAGGAGCCTTCTTAAAGGAAGAAATGTGAGGGGAGAGAAACTCTGTGGTTGCCATCAGGAAATGGTTGGTTTCACCTGTGTTGCCTCACCCTCCAGCCCCAGGAGCCATTATAAGGGAGTTGCTTAATGGATACTTTGACATGACATGTTATTAAGTTGCATGCTTATTTAAACATTGATATATGTGAAATGAACCATTAATCATTGATTATATATATATTTACTATGCCTTGTAATTATTGTTTTACTGTATTTAGACTTTGATTTTTCTGTGAACCACTTTGAGCACATATACAACTTAAATATACAGCTTAAAATCAGGAGGAGGGTGGGGACTTCATATTCATAGTGCCTCTAAAGTACATGGGGAAGGTATGCTTACCATGTGAGCTTGACAATCAGATTTGTAGACCTTTGCACATACGGTACATTATTTCCCAAGGGGAATAATCAGGGATGGGGAACTTGTGACCTTCCAGATGTTGTTTTATTGAAACTCCTCCTATAATCCCTCACTGTTGGAAGTTCAACATTTGGGGGACCACAGGTTCTTCATCCCTGATTTAGCTGCTCATTTCTTAAGACATGGGCATGCATGCTTGCATTTCCCTGAACATAGCAAAATAGAGATACTGAAAGTGAACTTAAATGTTGACTCTAAATGAAAGTGGGGGGGGGGTGTTATTTTTGTCCTTTTAGCAAACCACATTTTGCTGTGTGACTAATTGTTTGGAGAAAAAAAGTGTTAACAATTGAATAACAAATATGTGCTATGGCTTGATAATGCTGCTCCAATGTTATTGGTTACAGGAGTTCATCTCTTCATCCAGTTATAATAATATTAGAATAATAAGATTTTGAATTTATGAAACTTGATTTAAACTAGAGGATTATGAAATACAGAATTAGTTTACTATTCTTGATAAAGAACTGTGTAATTGATAAGTGTGAAATGATGCCAGTTTGAAGCAGTTCATAGAAGAAATAACTACTACTAATTTTCATTGCAATTTATTAGTTGTTAAAATAACAGTAATAAATAACAGAGCAATATTGAAGGATAAAAAGCTGTTTGGAAAGAAAACGACAGTGTCCTTTGTTTTCTGCTCAAAAACTATTGTGTGTGTTTGATTAGTGGGTATAATAAAAGTAAACTTTTTGTGGAGCACGGAATAAAATGTTGGTGCATTTTTGCTGATTCTATGTCATGTATTCTTACTCCTTGTAGTCCATAATTCTGCCAGTTTACAATGCTGAGTGTTGGCTGGATGAATGCCTGAAGTCTGTTCTGGAGCAAGACTTCCAGGGTTCCATGGAACTATCTGTTTTTAACGATGCTAGTATGGTATGTACCTGTCAGTTTACTGTTCTAGTTCTACTGCACGATTATCATTTGAATACCAATTCCAGGAATGTGTTCTTACTGTGTTTATTTCGCCAGGGGTGGGGGACCTTTTTGGGGGTGAGAGTTTTATTACCCTGCTGGAATGCTGTCAGGGACCCACCTTCCAAAGTGGACTGGGGCGGGGTGGTCAGTCCCAATAGTGTGTGCTGTCAGAGATGCAAACTCACACCTTTAACACACATAGACATACTCCCTTTTCCTTCTTCCTCCTGCTCCCAATTCCTTAGTTTGTGGGAATGAAAAGGGCTCTCTCCCTGATGTAGCATAATTGTTGTATCAAAACTGACTGTTTTGCAAAGGGACTTTCAGGAAATGAGCTGGATTGAAATGGAAGAGGGGACAGTCATTTTGCTCTGGCTTTTGAAAGGAGTTCTGTTCTCTCTCCATCCCCATGTCTTGGTGCCATTTTGTTAGTGTCATCTGTTGAGCTTGGGTGCAGTACTGTAGCTCCAGCCAGCTCTTCTGCAATCAGCTTGAGCTCTGAAAGCTCTGGGGTAGTAGTGGGATAAAGAAAAGGCTGAGGCTGAGGTACCTTGCAGCTGGGTTTGGTCTTTGTGTGAAACCCTTCCTCCTTGAGCTGTCTTCCTCTTTTGCCACTGTTGTAAATAAAAATATGCCCTTTTCCCTTATGGGGTATCCAAGAGCCCATATAGAGTCCTTACATAGGTTCCCTATTGGTAGGAGAAAATAACAGAGGCCAACCAGAGAATATTGAGAAGCAAAGCAGCTAGTAAGCTTGATCTTTATTGATCTGTTGCAACAGGGTGCTCCCCTCACACGCAGGAGAGGAAGAGGACCCACAAAAATGCTGTGCAAGGGCTTATAAAGACTTTTGAAATTCCCATCCTCTAGATCAAGACCACCCCCAGAAACATTATGCATTCATCACAGAAGGGGTGTAACCTAAGACCACCCCTCAGATAAGGTGGTCTAAAACAGAACATTTGCATGTTGTTTTCTCGCTTTGTTTATTTCCTGTCTGGCAGGTTACTTGATTGGATTTCTTGGGGAGCCTTGGCAGTCTTTTGTAATGATAAGGCTCACACCCTTATTCAAACACAGATTAAGACAGGATTTGTGAAGGAAGAGACAATGGGGAGGCTTTTCCATTTTTACCATGCAGAGAAACATTTGCTCAGTTTAGGAATCAAAATGGTTCCAGGTTGGCTTTCCTGTGCTGATCTATGTACGTGTGGTTATGAACGTTGCCATATATCTAAAACCATAAAATTCCTATCACACCACCCAGCAGCCCACAGGGGTCTGTGTGCTTTTCCTGGGACTCACTGCCTACCTGATCACTCCTCTTCAGAGAAGAGGAAGTTGTGCTCCTCAGCAGAGCCTTCCAGAAACTCCTGATGATGTCCAAGTCTGCCTGAAAAGCAATGGAAGATGTCATTGGTGTCAGATTGTGGGCAAATACTCATAAAAGTGCAGTTTAAATCAGTATGATGACTCGGCTGTGACTTTGCAGTGACCTTATCCCTTCTCACATGTAGCAATAAGATGTGGGAAAGAAATGCGGGGAATTAAATGTTTAACTTTTAAACATTATACCTACTCAGTGTCAATATTTCTAAACAGGACAATTCAGGAAATATATTAAAAAAGTGGAAGGTTCTGTTGGAAGAAGCGGGCATTCAGGTGGTACTTGGAGAAAATTATTCATCTCAGCCACGAGGAGGTAGGTGCCTTAAAAGAACAGCAGCTATTCAGGACAGTGGGATAACTTAGTTTTCTGCATAACAGCTTCCCACGAGTTGCGTAGCATTCTAGAACATTCTGTTTGTCAGTGCATCCACATTCAGACCAAGACTCTTCCTTAATAACTGTCAGAAGTGACTCTCTTTTTGAGGTTGCTGAGGTTTTCTTTTATGTGCCAAGACAGAATTTGGCCTAATACTAAGTACACTGTTGCTGCAATCTTAATAACTCTTATGAGGAAGTAAGCCCCATTGAACACAGTTAGACTTATTTCTAAGCAAGCGTGCATAGGATTTTGCTGTATGCAGAAAAATAAGTCCCACTGAAAATCAATGGGACTTCTGTTTAATGGGTTTAGAATCACATTGTAAATCATCATGACTCTGTTGGCAAAAGAAAATAGTTAGATTCACCGTATCTTACATTGCTGGAAATTCACACCAGTTTTTCCTCAGTTCTCTAGTCAGTTTTTCAATACGGGTTTAAGAGGCAAATAATATATAGCATAACTTAGCTTAGAGACGGCCAGGAAATAAATGTTGTGTGGATTGAGAGAGAGCCATCACCTTTGCTGCAGACTGGGAAAAAGCCAGGTTTGTTATGTGCTAGACTGAAAAAGCACAAATGAGGTTAAATTGTGATGCAAGCCAAAATAAATAGCTCTGGAATTGTTGTAATAGGCTGGAAAGTAATGGATTCAGGTTGAATTGCCAAGTGTGACCACTCCAGAATGAAGATCAGCTCAGTGAGATGTGAACTGTAAACGTTTGTATTGAGTTTTAAAGCTTGCTGTCCTTTCTCTGTGAGATGGTGAAAAAGGATAGCATGTTGGTGTTATGAGCAAGAGGGAATCTAAGAGCTAAGGAGGAAGATGATGAAATTAATTTAGGAAATGCTTTCTTTGTTTTCCAGAATAAATTTTTCATATACTTTTATTTAGGAAGTTTTAGTTTGTGTTTTCCTCCCTTATCTTGTTAAACATAAAATCATCTCTGTAATGTAATCCTGTTGTTGCTTTTCTCCATTGATATCTATAATTTATTCCTATTCATGCTTATTTTGAAGTTGCAAGTAATGGAAAAAAGGGGGAAATGCATATTTAAACTGTAAAAACTTATAATTTGACTCTTACATAAAAAGAGGGAAAATACAAGTTACATGCAAATATGTGCAATGTACCCCTGATGGACTGTGCTTTTAAGGAAAAACAACTCTGAGAGAGGGACTCTTTGGAAAGGCGACATTTAATATCTTTGCTGCCTACCACTTTCCTGCTCCTCCTCCTCTCAACCGCTCTTTCTCGAATTTTGATCTCTATGTTTTGACCTCATAGCATTGTTGCTTCTCAACTGTGTGTTAATCCCCTTCCAACATTTTTCTAGTTGTAAACTGTAAATGGGTCAACTAAGATTTCCAAGCCTCTTCCCATTATCTCTTTCCCAACAAACACAAGCTAAGGGGCAAAGGGGGCATTTGCCTAACTAAGAATCTCCTAGAGGGATGACCTATTCTGTACCAGGCAGTGGGCTCAGCTGGGGGTTGGGCTTCTGGCTTGTGCTAGGTACAGAGTCCAGGAAGACCAAGTCATGTACTGCTAGCACCTGTTTCAGATCCAGGAAACAAAGTTAGATCAAATTCCAGTGAGACAAGGTCATGCTAAGCAGAAGGTAAATCTAGATAAACAAGGTCGGGTAATGCAGAGGTCAAAGTCCAAAAGGCAAACAAAGGAAGGTCGACAGTACCTTGGATAGCTCAAAGTGAAGCCTAGACTTTAATTCAGACAAGGCAAGCTTGAATGTTTTTCCAACAACTAGCAATGCTAGACTGAGGGCTTATCCTCACTTACTTTTCCTCCACTCTTTCCAGGCATGGTCCGAGATTTAAAGCTCTGTGTTTAAACACCCCTTTTTTGCTCTGGAGCTTTCCCCACAAAAACCTGCTCTTTAAAGCGCAATTGGAGCAAACATCAATCTGCGGAAAACCTGAATTGATGTTTGTTCTGAGTCAGTTTTAAAGATTGGATTTTCACTGGGAAAGCTTCGTGGCAGGGGGGAAACCAATCGCTTAGACATGAACCATTAAAGTGCAGACCTCTGCCTGGAAAGAGCAGAGCAAAAGTTAAGTGTGGAAAAGCCTGCAGTCTTAAACAAGCTCAGAGAGTAAGCTAGCCAGCCAGTGTGGTATAATCACTGGCAAATACTGAACTGGGATCTGGGAGAACAGGGTTCAAACTCCCAATCTGTCATGGATGCTCATGAGGTGACCTTGGGCCAGTCAGTGCCTCTCAGCCAAACCCACCACCCGGTGTTATGGTGAGGATAACATGGAGAGGAGGGGAGGGGTTTGCTGTTTCCTGTTAGAATACCAGTAGCAATATGTGCACCCTTTGTGGTATTGCAACCCAGTTCGAAACATTTTCACAAGAAAGTAAATACATGATGACCTGAGTGAAGCCTGCTGTTCTTTCCGCGTAGTTGATTTCCTCCATCAGATGTGGCCCCCCTCATTTATTGTAACTGTTCCTTGTATTTACCAACAATTCCTCAAGTTAATGGGTTGTTACATGGTGACTACTCCAGAAGCATAAAACTGTTCCTTAGACACTCATTAAAGCCTGAGCCTCTTTTGGAAGCTGTGTAACATTGAAAAAACAACCATAGACTTGGGGAAAATACTGACAATTCTACAAAAAACCAAATAATTATTTGACATTTGGTTTCCAGGCTAATATGCATATGATTGGCGAAGTGTTAGGGTTTGGAAGTCTTAGTTTTTACTTTTAAAAAGTAGGTACATTTTATGATGTGAAAAAATGCATAGACATAGGAAGGAAAAAAACCCTATGGCTTCTGAATTTTCCCAGTCATTCGTAAATTGGGTTAGGAAAGGTGTATTTTGTTCAAACTATATACCTTTGAAAGCAGGTTGCCATGCAGTAATCATTTTCCAGTGTGGAGCAGCTCATTTGTATTTACATTTGGGCAGCCAGTTTAGATGGAAATCTTTGTGACCCCTTTGTCCTTAGTGATTTACTTTCCTGTGGTTAAGAGTAGTTAAAACTTGTAGGGAGTACTTCCTTTGAAACAAGCAGCCCCAATAACGAAACAAATGTGACAGTCTTCACGTCCTGGATTGTTTACCCTGGTTTAAGATTCATTTCTGATTCTTTTCTGCCATGGAAAAGGAAAAAGGAAAACAAAAGGGAAATCTCCCCCCACAAAAGAGAGGGGTCAGTGGCTTTAAAGAAACTAACACAAAACAACTTCTTTCCAAGAGTGAGGAATGTTAATATCTCACGGGGTCTTAGTCCCCCCCCTCCTGTGACCATGGTAACAGGCTCTTTTTGCTAAGTAAGCAGGCCTTGCAAAATGCAAAACCTTGGCACAAACATTTGAGTCTCATCAGTATAGCAATATTGCAGCGAATTCTTTGCTTATGCCAAACAAAATTCATTGCCTTAGACCAGTTGTTTAAATAATCCAGTTTCCATGCGGAATAAAATCTTTTGGAAATGCTATAATTGTGCTGATGTCAAAAGGGCATTTTATGACTAGCTAACTACCAAAACTTTGGGTGTCTTGTTTTTAATTAAGCTTACTTCTAAACTATTTGCACTTGAATGAACAAACAAACAAACATGATTGTTTCTCATCTGACCCACTTATCTCACCAGCTTGTTACCCATATGTGCATTTAAGTGCTGACCTTTTAAAATATTTGTAAGATTGTTTTGACTTAATTTTTTAAAGCATATCCTTAAACTTTGCCTGTCACATGAATAACCAAATGTTCTCCAGCATTCATATATTATGAAATCCGAATGACTCAAGTCAGCCTTTATGACTGATTTTTGTGATGTGTAAAAGCAGTAACATATGGATCAAGCTACTTACTGAGTGTTGGGCAAGTGATTTAAATGACAATGAATCTAAATTTCTGGCTACCTTTCATCACAGTGGCGACCCCACAAGCTTCCTTATAAGAATCATCCATGACTGATTTTATGACCTTTGAATGTGCCCTTAATCATAGCATCCTTTTAGCCTTCCTTGCTATAATCAGACAATTATTTGAAACATTATATGCTTGGGATGGGGAGAGAGAGAGAGACAAACTTGATTACACAACTGATCCTGCTGGAACAGTTACTGCTCTGTGGCAGGATTAGTTGTTCAATTTTAGTCTATTCATTTTATTCCTCAGGAGATAATTATTCCGAGCTATTGGTTCTGTTCATTCAACATGCCCAGACCTGCTTTACTTTTCAGTAAACATGTCCAGGTCTTGTAAGGTTTTACTGTGTTTTCCAGTCATTTTAATTTAGTTACGGCAGCCATAGAACTTTGAATGGTTGAGTTTTAATTTAAATGATTTCCTAGAATCATAGAATTGTAGAGTTGGAAGGGTGTTCCTAGTCCAGCCCCCTGCAATGCAGGAATGCTACCACATCCATCCCTTGGTGGGCTCAAACCACCAACTTTCTGGTTAATAGCCAGACACACACTGACCCATTGCACCACAGAGGTTTAGTTATCATTTCTTTGTGAAGTTCAAGGCTCTATATTCATAATGTTCATATACATGAAGAGGTATCCAGGAAGGAAATAATAAAACTTGTCATGGGTGTGCAACTCAAGCATCCATTATGGCTTGCTTACTGTGGGCTGCAATTCTGAAATCTGGCAAGGAACTTCAATGTCACCTAGTGTGTTTTTGAGTAGAAAAACTTAGATTGCAAATTGCAATGATGCTCATGCACTCTTTTGTAACTTTGCTTTATCCACAGTGGGCTTTGCTAAAAATCATGCAATAGATCAGAGCTCAGGGACTTATCTGTGCTTTCTGGATTCTGTAAGTGATTTTTTTAAATTTTTGCCAAATGCATTGCCTACCTGAAACAAAATGTTTAATTGTCCATTTCCTTTTTATCATTCTATGCTAATGGTTTTCCATAAATTGGTATAAAACTGTTTCATGTGGTTATGGTGATGTGGTACTTTTTAAATTTAATAAGTATTCAACCTTATAAAACTCTGCTTCTGTATCTGGACATTTTCTTAACCGTTGAGATACCGTGGTACCTCGGGTTACATACGCTTCAGGTTACATACGCTTCAGGTTACAGACTCCACTAACCCAGAAATAGTACCTTGGGTTAAGAACTTTGCTTCAGGATGAGAACAGAAATCGTGTTTCGGCGGCGCAGCAGTAGCAGGAGGCCCCATTAGCTAAAGTGGTGCTTCAGGTTAAGAACATTTTCAGATTAAGAACGGACCTCAGAACAAATTAAGTACTTAACCCAAGGTACCACCCTATTGGAAGTTTAAGTGGCACACACCTTTTAAATCTGCAACCTAGCAGGCACTTCTAATGGATAATAGGTATTGTTTTACTTGATGTGCCATTTTTCTTAGACCTGATGGCATGAAAACAGAATAAAGAAAATTCAAATATTCTACTGTCAAATGGGTCATTATAAGCAATCACTATGCCATGAAATAAATTTCATAACATGCACTCCAAATAATCCAGTATTACAGGAATTTGATAATAACAGACATGCTTCTGTCCTCCAAGTCCTTTCTGAGCAGGTAAGCAATTTGTTGCAAGAAGAAGATATCTGTTTCACATGAAAAACCAGCAGGGATTTCTAAACAAGGCCAGATGTTTTTATGTTGTTGATCTCCATCCACCTTCAGGAAAGAAGGCATTCAAACCACATGTATTTGTATCGGGTTTACCTACTTCCACAAGAGACTAGCCCTCAAATTCTGCAAAACTTAACCCTACTATCAGTTTAGATGTTCCCTTTACAGTCAAGGCAGAGCACTTTAAATATATAGAGACCAACTTGCTATGCTAGGATGATTAAGTAGGAATTGTCCCCTTCTCACAGAAAGTGAAACTATGTGGCATCTAACCACAAACCCTCAGTTCACCCCCCCAAAAAAATCTTTGACTGACTTATTTTTTACAGAAAAATGAGAAGTGATCTTGTGACAAGTGGAAATAGTTTACATACATCATACAATCAGCAAATAAAAAAGGACTTCAAACCAGCTGTCTTTCCTCCTCTAGTCAGCTTTTCAGCCCCCTTCCCCCTGCTAGCTGCCACTGTTCTCTGGTGGGGCCAAGAAAGTGTAGTGCTATAGCTCTGGAAACGGCGTTTCCGTGTGCTGCGCTGGCTTGCCAGATGCAGCTTGTCACGCTGGCCACGTGACCCGGAAGTGTCTCCGGACAGCGCTGGCCCCCGGCCTCTTGAGTGAGATGGGCACACAACCCTAGAGTCTGTCAAGACTGGCCCGTACGGGCAGGGGTACCTTTACCTTTTATAGCTCTGGTAGATTTTTGAATAGGGTTTCTCTTGTCTGAAGAGGTGCAGTGGCTCATCTTTTGTGAGGTTAAATGACAATTTTATTTATTCAGGATTTTTAAAATTAATCTGTAGAAGTAAAGCATATAAATTTGCTTGCAGTGCAGGAAGAAGAGGCATATATTTAGTTCCTCTGTTAAATGCCTCTCAACGTTAGGATGAATTCAGGAGGCCCCAACCCACAAAAGCTTACCATGTACCATCTTGTGGAGCTGCATGAGGTGGTAGCTTCCTGTGTCCCTGAGAAATCCAAGGATTTGCAGTAGTGGTAACACCAAGCTTAACCTAGTTGGCAGGGGCCACACATAGCCAACTCTACATGCAATTGTGGGGACTTCATGCTGTGGCTGTGTGGCCTCTGGATATCTGCCCCCACCCACACTGAACTACCACTAAATACAAGGTGGAATAGGAAACATACTGGTAAACCAAAACACCTTGCAAAGGTGGGTCTGGATTTTTTTAAAGAAAAAGTTTTCCTTCCCCATCAATATATTGGACTAATGAATAAATAAATTCAAAACCACAGTAGTTCCTAGGATGTTAATCTGAATAAAATATGCTTTTGTCAAATATTGCTGAGCAATCCCCTGCCTCAACCCCCCCTCCAAATGTGTGTGTGTTTCTAACTGAATTAGGACATTCTGAATTAGGATATTTTAAGTACCCATCTTCTGTTCTGGCACCCTGAACTCAGAATCTCTTTCGCAGGGCTTGAGAAGAGATTATTCACATTCAAGGAACTCTTATTTAAAAGTTTATAATGATTACAGATTGTGTATATTTCGTAACCGATTCAATCTCATTGCCAGTTCAAATACAAGAAATATCAATAAACCATCACCTATCAATAGATTCTTCTTGCATGTCTGATATACTAGAAAAAATGAAGCAACACGTTTTTTTCAGCCTATAACGTACCTGAATGTACAAGTACAACATTTTCTGAAGGTTAGTGTCTTGGCAGTAATTAAGAGCATTTCACATGACTGACACCAACATGATATTCTGATTAATTTGATACTGAATTGGTGAACTGAAACCAAGAATCAAAAGAGGTATATAGGAGCAGTCACAGATAATGTTAGCACACACAGCTGGTAACATCTGTTTTTCAGCAGTTACTGCATAGCAGCGAGAAATTGATTCCAATGAGAATACCAAGTAATTCATGGATGCGTATAAATTTCAGGAATTTCTGTTATGTTAAACACAGAAAAAGACACAGAAAACAAATGTTGTTTATCAACACATCAGATTTTCAAGTTGCTTTGCAAAATAATTTTTAAAACATTGTGGTAATTTACATTTCTTCTGCTAAACAAGCATGCAAGGAGAATGAGAAAGTGTGTGTGTGTGTGTGTGTGTGTAGACACAGAGACTACCTAATGAATATTTTTCCAGACTGAATTTTACTGTAGATCATAAAGATTTTATTGGGAATAAAATCAAAGGCTCTGAACAGTAAACCATCTATTCTATGTTCATGCCAATAGAAACTGTCCCTTTTGTTGGAAATAAACATTTATTTGAACACTTTGGACAGAAAAAGCTATTCTACCTTCAGTGTTGGATGCTGGAACATCTCCAGGAAAGAGAAAAAGCAGGAAAGAAAGTTTAAATAGGTATAGGCACTTTAAATATAATAATGAAAACAGCTGTATAAGAACTTGAGCAGATGTGCATAACTAAGCAAAGTTGCTCACATCTAAGAATCTGTTGACCCTCAAATGCGTACTTAGATCTTATGTGTCTGTTGTTTCCCCATTTGTTTGAACTGAGGTAGAAGATCTCACATGCAAATGAATGCACTATTGAAATGAATGCAGAAGTTGTTTGAGATAGGAAACCATATGCACACGTGCAGGGCTTCTGGATCAGATCAATAGATCAGCACACACATTTCCAGTGCAGTACTGGAGTTAAGAAATTAATTCATTTATTGCTTGCATCTGTGTAAAGCGGATTCCTCCCCCCCCCAAAAAAGAAATCACCCGCAAGTTAATCAAAGAAACAACGCTGAGTACATGTGAGCACTTCTACAGTCCCTGCGAGTAAAGTGTCTAGATGGGTCAATGAGTCAGTTCCTCATTTAATCTTTTCATTCAAAATTGTAGGATTATCATTCTCTCTTTAGCAGAGATGTGAACAGTTGGAAATCTGCTATTCATAGAGCAAGTGGAAATATTTCAATTTCACTGCCATAGTTCCTGCTAGGAATAAAAAGCAATGAAGTCCCTCGTATAAAAGAAAAATCTAGTTGTATCTGTGCCAACACAAGCTTGCATACAGCAATCTAAGGTATTGCATCTTTTCCAGTAGTTCCCCCGCAAATAAAATCATGGAGGGCACTATAGCAAAAACAACTGGATTGTTGCAATGTACATCCTACTTTATTCAAGATGAGCTATTCATTCATTATTGCATTTATATCCCACCAACATCTCCAAGGAGCTCAATTAGCATACATCCCCCCCCCCCCCCCGCATTTAATCGCCTCTGTGAGGTGGGTTGGGCAGTGACTTGCCCAAGTTCATCTAGTGTGCTTCGTTAACTGAGTGGGAATTTGAACTCTGGTTTCCAGGTCCTGGTTTGCACTCAAACCAGTACAGCACACTGGCTCTCAGCAGTAGGAAAACAAACAGGAAGTATAATGAACAAGTTATAGCTTGTCTTTATGTAGTTTATCTATAAGAACCAAGCAAAGCAGACACAGAAATGTTCCTAAGCAGTTAAAAAATTGAAATTGCTTCAGCTAGAGATGGAATATTGTGGAAGGGGTTGAAAAAGGACAAAAAAAACATGCCTGGAGAACTTCAGCAAGGGTAACCCCCCCAAAAAAATCTAACTGGCCATGATAGTATCCCACAGCTTCTAAAACGTATATCAGTTTATAGCTGTGTTGTATTATATTGATTTCAACTTTTAGCATAATTGAATAAGAGCAATCTGATTATTACATTTTAGGTTAGTGATTATAAAGTGGGGTTGGAGTAGTTCATTTCTTCTAAACTAATGCTGCAAAAAGATGCACTAATTCTGTTGTATGCCTGCTTTATTCATGCCACTGCAATTCATTTTATGTACTTCTATATGTTGTCTAGGTGTGTGCTCAGTTGACCATTTTCTTCCTGACATGTCTTTGAAAAAACCATTATGCTCTAGTTAGGAACTTGGCAAATGTATGAAAAAAGTCTTATGACTCTTTTTCACCAGGTTTCTACAACTGATAAGCTGGATGGTTTACTTTCAAGTTTTTTGTTTTACCTTGAGGTAGACTAATTGTATGTAGCTACTGGCACAGATTTGTTTCCCAACCTTGTTATCATTTTTGGATAAACTGTAGTGTTAGGGTGGCTTCAAGTTCTTAGAACAGGGAGAGGGAACTAGTTGCTCAATCTTGGACCAAGGGCTTCTTAATGTTCCCAATTGCAGCTCTTAATCCTTGTGATCCCCTGACTATGCACCTTAATTGCTTTCCCCACAGGCAAAGCACTCCACCCCCTCCCTCAAATGGCAGTGGCAGCAGAGGTTTTAGGAGAGTTCTCCCTTTTATGCACTTCAAATATTTGCCCATGTGCAAGCTGGGACAGAGGCAAATAGGAGTGAATAGCTGCAGTGTGTTAACGGGAGACTTGTAAGAAACTTCATAGGTGCTATGGGGGGCACAGGGCAGAAGGGTGTTTTGTTTAGTTGGGTTTTAAAAAATTAGGCAGCTTATGTGGGTAGTCTCTGTCCAAGGTGTCTTACAACAACAAAAATTATAAAATAACAACAACCACAAAACTATCAACTGACCCGGGAAAATAGCCAATAAAAAAGCTTTCACACCAAATTAAAACACTTCCCACAGCAGTAGCAAACCACAATCCAGGACATAAAGCATCAATCACCAATTAGCCCATTGGAAAAGTTACATCTTTAGGGAAAGGCTTGAAGCGTGGGAGCCTGTAGAAGATCCACTCTCATGGTGTTCAGAAGTCGTAAGGTTACCAAGCTTTCTGATCTGTGAGATGGAAACACATAGAAGGCCCCTTTTGTGCATCTGAATGTGTGGGCAGGCTGATACGGGTGCAAGAGGTCTATCGGATATCCTAGGCCTAATTTTTAAAAGGCTTTTTAAAGCTTGAAACCAGACCCATTCCACAAGGTGGTAGACTGAGGTGGTTGACATCTGGACTATACCACTTCACCATAGCTTTGCTCACTAATCTTTTAGTTTAATAAACTGAAAAACAACTCATAAAAATAACCTCCCGCCTACAGGCTGAAGTAGTACAGTCAAGAATTTGACCCTCTTGCCAAGGTGGTTGTCACCGATGGAAGCAAAAGCACAGAAAAAGCTCAATATGGAGGCCAAGTGGCCGAAATATTGGGAAATTCTGGAACAAGAGGGAGATAGACTGAAATTGCAGCGTTTTGAGAAACTAAAAAACAAAGTGCGAGACTGGCGTCATTATTACCAGATAATGGAGGCATATAATTTGGACAAGAAAATTGGCTTCCAGGTGGAAAAATCAAAATTAGAAACAGAACTGTTAGAACCCAAAACGAAGATTTTGTCAAAGATGTATAACTTGCTGTTGAAATGGAATACTCAGGATGAAACGGTTAAATCTGCTATGATTAAGTGGGCACAAGATGTTGGACATAACATAATGATGGCTGACTGGGAACAGTTATGGACCACAGGTATGAAGTTTACGGCATGCAATGCCTTAAGAGAGAATATTATGAAAATGATATACAGGTGGTACATGACCCCAGTCAAGCTTGCAAAAATCTATCATTTGCCCGATAATAAATGTTGGAAATGTAAAGAAACTGAAGGTACATTCTTTCACCTTTGGTGGACGTGCCCAAGGATTAAGGCCTTCTGGGAAATGATCTATAATGAAATGAAAAAGGTATTTAAATATACCTTTCTGAAGAAACCAGAGGCCTTTCTCCTGGGCATTGTCGGCCAATTGGTGCCAAAGAAGGACAGAACTTTTTTAATGTATGCTACAACAGCAGCAAGAATACTCATTGCAAAGTATTGGAAGACACAAGATCTACCCACTTTGGAAGAATGGCAGATGAAGGTGATGGACTATATGGAACTGGCAGAAATGACTGGCAGAATCCGAGACCAGGGAGAAGAGTCGGTGGAAGAAGACTGGAAGAAATTCAAAGACTATCTACAGAAATATTGTAAAATTAATGAATGTTAGAATGATGTTGGATAGAAATTAAGTGGTTTCCAGCTGTAATGCTATAAGGGAATATGAAAAATGGGTTATTAATAGGTAAAAATCTAATGTTACTATTTTAAGACCAAAGATTAGGATAAACAAAGAGGGTAAGGATTTGCTGAACCAACAAATTGAACTGGAATACAAAAAAGGGAGGTGTGAGGAGGTCCAGGAAACAAGTTAAAGAAAAATAAGTAATGGAAAGATTGAGTGGTTTTTAATCATTTTTATTTTGTATTTTTTTTCTTTTTCATTTTTATATTGTAACATCTTGAAAATCTCAATAAACATCTTATTAAAAAAAAAAAAGAATTTGACCCTCTTGGCCTGCCACCATGTACTCGAAACTTGTAGAATCAGTAGATCATGTCTGATTCTTGAGGCTCATAATAAGATGATGGCTCTGAAGGGATCTAGAGAAGCCCTATGCTCAGCCAATACCACTGGCTCTTCAGCCTCAGTTCAAAATATGGCTTCTTGAATGAGTTGTTGACATGATGATCAGTCTATACGCTGGCGTTGATATAACTTACAAATACTTAAACAGGCAGATACGAGTGGGTTCAAATGGATACAATATAGTATAGTCGGTGGTTTCAGTGATACTTTGGTTCAAATCCTAATGAAGCCTTTCTTTTAGCCTTAGTTCCCCAAGTATAAAATCAGAAGCATAACCATCTCCCTCACATAACTCTTGCTAGAGTTGCTAGGAAAATGATTTTAAAGTGCTTTACACATCAATATACATAAATAGCAAGACATAGTAATAGTATATTTTTGAACACTTAGGCTCTGCCGTGGGTAGGAAATTCTGAAATGTGGTTTGGTTTATTGTATAAAATGGTAACAGTTTCACTTTTTGTCTACTGTAAAAAGTCTGGATTTTCCCTTCTAGTTCTAATTTATGTTAATTTTCTTTTGGGGGCTAAATTTACTACCCTGGTAGCCATGCATAAACTATTGAAATAAAGTGGTATCTGGAATCCCTCCAGTAGTTGCAGCCAATTGTGTATTTTATAGTTTTGTACTTGGGCTAGTAAAGTGACCAGTTAATCTGGCAACCATCTCTAGTTATTGTTTGAGAACAGTGGTGGGCCCTCTTTCACATATAGTTACAGTGTGCCATTTATTACAGGATGATGTGATGATGCCCCAGAGAATAAGACTGCAGTGGGAAGCTGCTATTCAGCATCCAGAAAGTGTGAGTATTTCTCTCTGTCATTTTCTTTTAACAGCGAGGCATGCAGCTTGTTTTAACAGGAAGGCTTGGGAAATGTTATAGCGGTTTTGATTGCAATTGGTACTCCTTAATCTAGCAAATTTTAAGGAAATGCTTCTGGAAGTTTTTACTCAAGTACCTTATTTGTTTGTTTATATTCCCTGAAAATTCTATATGTGACCTGATTTAAAAGCTTTATCTATTGCAAAAATGTGATAAATTAAACAAGTAAATGACCACTGTAGTTAATGAAAACAGAATTAATGACTCATCCATCGATTAACCTTGTGAAAATGCGAACAGATTAAAACGATAGTAACAATTGGGTTGTATCCAGCAGTGTCACTCAGCTGTGACAGTAAGGCTTCCATAAGACAAAAGTGGCAGGTTGCAAATTTCAGCCATTCTCTCCTGCCCTGCATCCCCTAAACCTGTATCAGATGGTTGAGTGACCCAGAATATATCGCTCAAACTGCTTTGTGAATTAACACTGTTAAGTACCTAATGATAATTGCCTATAATTTTCTGTATTTTGTTTCCTTCTCATCTCACTGTTTATACCCCCATGCATATATGTACCTGCAATGTAGAATAACTCCTTAATTCATCTGATGCTTTCTGCAAAGGCAAGTTGGACGCTTCAGACGTTCTATAACTTTCCTTCATTGTTGACACAAAGCTGCTTTTTGGAGGAGTCTTCACTCTTGAAGGGATGGTGTACAGCAGGCATAGGCAAACTCGGCCCACCAGATACTTTGGGACTACAACTCCCATCATCCCTGACCACTAGTCCTGTTAGCTAGGGATGATGGGAGTTGTAGTCCCCAAACATCTGGAGGGCCGAGTTTGCCTATGCCTGGTGTACAGTCAGAGGACCTCTAGAGCTGGATTAGGAAAAGATAAAAGAGAAGCATTTTTATTGCTGAAGGGAAAGGTAGTAATGGCTAAGTAGACCCACCTACTAACGTTGAATAAGTTTTACAGTATTAAAGGTCCATATTTGGTAGACTGAAATTGTCCTACAGAAGCATCTTTGATAAAGAGATAGCACTGTAAAAAGGAGTGTTCTTTTGCTTCTGTTTTTTTAAGGACCCACCTCTTGTCTATAACTTATTATAAACTGATTTTAATATGTAAATGGCTGTAACGCCTCCCGGGACAGGTGGTGAAGGGGCGTGTCAGAAATTGAAATTGAATGTGGAATAAAATATTACCTATAAGCCAAGAGGTTGCACAAGGGTTAGATATTGTTAGTCTGCAACTTAACAACCTTGCTGCACTGGTTCTGCTACAGATATCAAATTGCTGCTTTGCTTAGGCATATGAAAGGAAGTCGTTCTGAAGAACTTATTTTGCTATTGCATAGCTCATGTGAGGGAAAGCAACGTTGCATTTAATTTTTGTTTTCAGTTTCATAGTTTTAAAATAACTACTAAGTGAAATTGCTTGGCACTTGTTTCATTCTTGATGTGATGCTCTGTTAAAAAAAACAAAAACCATAAGGGAAAGATGTGAAGCCATAAGGGGATGGGGCCAGATGTATAATAATCATTTTCTTTGAACTAGAATGAAAACAACAAAAACAGAATGGCTTGAGTCTAATTTTTAGGCATTAATCCATACCACAAGATTACCATACATAATTTGGCAAGCAGCCTGGTTAGAGAAGCCCACAGATGACGAAGCTTCAAAAATAGTCTAATGGGCGCAATTTTTTCTTGCTAGTAAAATATAGATCTTATAGTTGATATGTATGAGCTCGTATTCTGCCCAGTCTGATTTCACTTGTTTGGACATGTTGCATAATAGTGAGATGTTAGTGGGGATGGAAATTGAACAAATGCATGGGTTTTTCATGACCCTGCAGGTGTCTTCGACTGTGGTTGCTGCTAAATCAGCAGTATGTGTGTTTGGTTTGGGCAGGCAATTCATTGCTGATCTGTGCCTTTGCTTTCTTTTGCTGGGTGTGCCATGTTTTTCTTTATCTTCTTTCGTTTGTTGCTCTGTTTTCACTGTTCTCTACTTCAGCATTCATTCTATTAATATAAAGCTGGGGTAGGTTGCATGAGCAATGACAATATACTTCCTCTTTGGCATGTTTAGGAAGCTGAACTATTGGGAGGGTTACAGTTCTCTTACCACAGTTTTCTGTTGCAAGACTGAGGAGTCATATGATGTTATGTCATTCAGAGGCAGCATTACACAGTGGAACAAGGCGCAACAGATTTGTGCAATGGATCCTTCTGCTTCATCAGCAATGTGAACGAAAATGATCCTTACATTTTGGCTGTTTGCTTTATTGGATGGGAGGTTTAATAACATACGAACTCAGCAAAGTCAATATTTCTGAGTTTGGCCAGATTGAGGATGTCTCTCATTACCGATGTAGTTTCCCCTTACGTGAGCACCCTAGGCACACACTCCTTACTTGTATCTTCCAGTATGTGTCAAACAGACCCACCCTGGACATGATATGTACCTTGCTCGCAGAAAAAGACTTGCTGATCATCAAAGTAGCAACGAAAATACAAGCTAGATTCCAAAAAGCTTTGGGATGGGGGTGGGGGATTCAGATTGTGATTGTATTTTTAGCATCTTTATAATTTATTGTAGAAGAGTAATGTGTGTTTTACATGGAGACGAGTATTATTTTTCTGCTTCCTTTTGTGTATATATGTTAAATATGTCAAAAGTATTATTGTTTTGAAGTCATAGAGCTGTAGAGTTGAAAGGGACCCTGAGAATCATCTAGTCCTACCCCCTGCAATGTAGGAATCTCAAATAAAGCATCCATGACAGATAGCCATCCAACCTCTGCTTAAAAATCTCCAAGGAAGGAGAGTCCACCACCTTCTGAGGGAGCCCATTTCACTGTCAAACAACCCTGAATGTCAGAAAGTTCTTCTTGATGTTTAGTCGGAATGCCCTTTCTTGTAACTTGAAGCCGTCAGTTCAGGTCCTACCCTCCGGAGCGGTAGAAAACAAGTTTGCTCTAACTTTCATGTGACAGCCCTTATCGTGGTAGCCTGTGGCTTTAAACAATAGAGTTTCATTCATGAAAAGCAGAGTATAGAGGGAAAGAGAGCTGGTTTGAAGTGCTTTTTATTTGCTGATTGAGTGTATGGTGTACACTCTGCTTTTGAAGTTTGTTCCTGCCATCCATTCTGTATACTTTGTGCCGGGCTAACTTAGTTGCCCGATAGGCAGATACTGACAAACATTCTTATCTCAGTCAAATTTGGTTTTGCTACTACTGAGCTAAAATGTTTTGGTTAGTGTTGCAAATTTGTTTAATGTTACATAATCTCATTCATTAGCCTTGTGTTCAGAAAGCTCTCTGTCAGTTTGGGATTTTTGCTGCCCAACTTCTAGTTCACAAGTGTCTCAGTTGTACATATGTGCCTAATTTTTTTTTTTACCTTGTTTTCTAACTGATTGCGCTATTCTGCAAAATGAATTTGCAGTAGTCAGTCTTGTTTTCATATATTATCCGTTAAGGAAATTATTGAAAAATAAGTTTTTCAATTTATATTTAAGCAGATTGTATCTATTGTTTATGTGGAAATACAGTTTTTCCACTTTCACATTATGGATCTTGGAAATGATTTTTTTAAAGTTTTCTGTACAACAAAGTGTCATAAAGCTGAAGTACTGAAAAGTTTGTTTTTACTACGTTCATCTGTTATTCTATTGTTCCACTGTACAGTTGTCTGATGACTTCCTAATTTTGGGGTGCAGTGTCAAAAAAGCAATGTGCAAGACTACTTCCTCCCCTTAATTTCTTTTAAAGCTCTCCCTGTGATCCTCAATCTTCCAGCATGGCTATTGGCTAGGAAAGGTGATAGTTGTAGTCCAAAGCATTTGGAAGGTACCAGGGTGGGGAAGGCTGTACTAAATTATAGTTTACTACAGGGGTCGGCAAACTTTTTCAGCAGGGGGCCGGTCCACTGTCCATCAGACCTTGTGCGGGGCCAGTCTATATTTTGGAAAAATATATATGAACGAATTCCTATGCCCCACAAATAACCCAGAGATGCATTTTAAATAAAAGGACACATTCTACTCATGTAAAAACACCAGGCAGGCCCCACAAATAACCCAGAGATGCATGTTAAATAAAAGGACACCTTCTACTCATGTAAAAACATCAGGCAGGCCCCACAAATAACCCAGAGATGCATGTTAAATAAAAGGACACCTTCTACTCATGTAAAAACACGCTGATTCCCGGACCGTCCGTGGGCCGGATTTAGAAGGCAATTGGGCTGGATCTGGCCCCTGGGCCTTAGTTGTCTACCCATGGTTTACTATTATAAGAATGAGCCTAAACAACCATTGGGCTGTGTTCTAGCAGGGCCACAAGACGGAGTTCAGAAGCTTTTACTTCCATTTTTTAAAATCAGCGGTAGCTTGATGTGTCATTTGAACTCAACAAACTGTGATTTATCATAACCATGGTTTGTTTGAAACCACTGGTTAAGCTTTGGATGTAGCATTAACTGTGGTTCAATTGGAAGTTTAAGACTTGATCTCCTTGAAGGAGATGGGAGAGGATAATATGAAAGCTTGAGGTTTGCGTATGTTCGTTTTCATCTTGCTAAAACTATGGTTTTAGTTGGAATCCAGCCATTGTCACTGCTAGTTTTAAATGGTTACAAATTCAACAGTCTCTTGTTCTGTAAGTTTTGGTGAATCTATGCTACAGCGTAAGGAAAAAGCCTGTTCTACATCCTTGACTTTTTTGTCTCCCATTCACAAGAGGGTTTGGTTTGAATAACCTTCTAGACCTTTTTCCTTTTGTAATTACAAGTCTGCACCAGCATTTGGGCCATGCTGCCACCCCATCAGACAACAATATGAGGAGGTTTTCCTTATGCAAACACATGCCATTTAGAAATAAAACAGCTATTGTGACAAGGCT